AAGAAATAAGAAGGGAGGTCATTGAAGAGTTTAGTGGATCATATAAAACTGGATGATCACTTGTACTGTGAAAATCAGAATTGAGAGGCAAGTATAGAATCAAGAGGACTTTTGGCAACAGAAACAGCAGAACTAGAAAGGTTGTTGGAAAGGAGTTCATGAGAATGACTCCAGTCTTTCTAGTTTGGTCACCTAAGTGTCTGAGTTTTCCAAGTTAGGGAAAAACAAGGAAGAGCAAAATAAGGGAGGAAGACAGTAAATTTAGTTTGAGATATGTTAGCTTAGAGGCATCTAGGAAGAGAGTAAATTTAGTTTGAGATATGTTAGTTTAGAGGCATCTACAATTAGAGATATTTTGTGGGCAGCTATAGCCACCTATCATAAATAGAATGATGCCAGAGATGTAAGTTTTGGAATTTCCAACATCTGAATCCAGATGAACTTTCTCAATAGAGCATAGAAGTATAAAGAGAGACAATGTGGCAGTACCTTGAGGCACATGTAAACAAAACAAAACAACTAAAATAGATGACACATGAACTTTGGAGTCAGAATGTCTGAATTCAAATCCTAGCTCAACCACTTATGAGCTGTGTGACTTTGTACAAGGTACTTAATATGTTTTGGTCTCAGTTTCCTCATCTATAAAATGAGAACTACCTCAGATTGTATCATGATGTTTAAATAAATTAGTGTTTATAAAGAATGTCAAATAATACCTGGCATTCAGTAAATACAATTTAGTTTTTATTAAATAAAAAGTATTAGAGTTCATTTAGCTCCAAATATTGACCTTCATTCTGTGTTCTATTTTATTTCTCCACTATGTCTGATTTTTCTGAAGCCTGTCATTTGTTTTTCTTATTCTACTCCTAATTCTAGTAGGTCCTAAATGAAGTATTATTAAATTCACTACCTATTTCACATGAAAAGTAAATCTTAGGAAAAATAAAAATCAATCCCTTTCTTCATGAAACAATTACCTTGTAAAAAAAAATCTTAGAAAAGTTCTCTCTAGGCATATCACAATGTAATCATCTGTTTCTACAGATTAAATTGATAAATAATTTTCTACAAAGGAATATTTCTCCTAGAAGTTTCTTTCTTTTACCTTTATTTTTTTTCGTTTTTCAGGACCAACACTACTAAAATGTTCTATTCATACATTCCAAGCAGTTTCAGACTTTAGAGTTAACAACCTGTTCTTGGTATAGTCGCGACCATCAGGATCTACTCTGCCAGGAACTGTGCTAGATGCTCTAAATAGAAAATCTCATATTCTTCCCCAAACTCCTTGAGTTGGCTATGATGTTTGCTATATAATTGAGAAAAATGAGGTTAGTCAGAGTCCCTGAATCATCTCAAGCCTAGGGAAGTTGCCTCAGTGTAGTGAACAACAACTGAGCAGTTGGTTTCAAAGCAGAACATCATTCAACACAGGACAGTTGTCTCTCCGCTCTGCAGTGTGTCATCGTTTTGAGGATGAGACAAAAGGTAGAATGGCCTGATGGTGGCACCTACCAAGATTTCCTGCCCTATTTTACCACAGAACACACCTGGGAGTCCTGGTACCTTGGACTTATCATCTATGGCTTGGAGGAGCCAATGACCAATAATCTTTTATTTTGGCTCAGTTCATGAACCATCAGCAACATCCTCCCCTCTAGTCCCACCAGGAGACTTAATACAAAACTGTTGGAAGTCTCTTGTCTAAACATAGTACAGGTTTGATATTCTTACCAGTCTTATTGAGACTCTAAGTTCAGTTTTTAATTGAATAATATTGTTCAGAGAATATGTCATAGTGATGGTGGTGATAAGTATTACCTCAGAGATGGACTTGTCCCTGTAAAATGAAGGTTTCAGGATCAGCTTTAAGAAGGAGTTAGATTGAGATAAATGTAAATGATAAATAGATCATGCATGGGAAAAACAGTATCTGGTATAGAAATATAATGCTAAGTATACCAAAGCAAAGCCATATCAGACATGTCTGGACGATACTTAGTTTTTCTAGAATGAAGTGTTTAGTAAGAGAAGCAATAAAAAACATCATGGAAAACTGGTGAGGGCATGTTTGTGAAGATCTTAAAAGTTTGGGTACCATCTTATGATTAATGAAATCAAGAAACGTGATGACATAAAAACATTTCAGGAGAATATGTTGGTAGGATCAGAGGTTGAAATGGTGATGTACAGAAGGAATTCAAATTATTCTGAATTTCTAAATCTGGGAAAATATCTTGGTATGTATTAAAAGTAAAGAAAGCCTATTTTAGGAGGTTGTTTCCAGTTCCTTCCAACAAAATAATATCTCACACACTGGCATACTTTTTCTATAAAGGCCAGATAGTAAATATTTTAGGATTTTGGACTTGCAGTTTCTGCCACAACTACTCAACTTGTTGCAATAGCACAAAGCAACCTTAAACAATATGTTAATGAAGTCACATGGCTCTGTTTCAGTAAGCTTAATTAGGGACACTGAAGTTTGAATTTCATGTAATTTTCATATGTCACAAAATATTACTCTTCTTTTGATATTTTCTAGCTACTTTAAAATGTAAAATCCATTCTTAGCTTGGGACTATACATAATCAGAAGGAGAAAAGGATTTGGCCACAGTTTGCAAACTCTTGGTTTATAGAACATCATCAGAACTTTCAGTCCAACAATATTTTGAAAACTTGAATTTTCTTCTGAAGACTTTTCTTGAGCATTTAGAAGGAACTGGCTGAAGTGGGCTTGAAGTGGTAGGAGAAGGGGATAACTATTAATAACTTAGTCAGACTAATCATACTAACCGCAGGGGGCAGTAGGACAACCAACATGTGTCCCTGTATGCTCTAATCCAACAGTTGCTTGTCTGAAACCAAAAAAAAAAAAAAAAAAATTCTGAACTCAGTATTTTGATAATTGCAGAGGGAAAATCAAAAGTGGCGGGCTTTGCTTTTATTCAAGTTGCTTATGCCACCCTAAAGTGGTACAATGCAGTACTTGCCCAAAGGGAGTGACTGGCAGCATTGATGGAAGCTTAGTGTGAGAGCAGTGTGTAAAGTTGAAGAGACTTTGAACAAAGAATTCTGGAGAGACTAACTAGGCTGGGGTAACTAATGAAAACCAGCCTGGGAATGGAATGCAGAGGACATGAGAGTCCCAAAGGAAGAACTGATGAGACTTGCTAACTACTGAGACATGGTGGCTGAAAAAAGAGAAAGGAGAAAGATATAAAATGTTTTAAAATAGTGTCATTACATTATTCAGTGCCACTAAGAATCACATAGCAGTGAGAGGCAAGGGGGACGATGTAGTATGTAGAAAATGGGGAACATAGGAGGCTGGAGGGTAGCACTTCACAGAAGCAAATCACACACATACACTAATGTCTGATAAATGGTAGGCTGAAATTGTTGGCAAATACAGAGAGAAGGGATCCCATTAATGCCCACATGCTATCTTTATTTCAAGTATTATCAGGTGGAAAATAAAGTAGTATCATTATGGTGTTGATGGTCAAAATATGTGAACAATCTCCTGCATCATATTATATAGAATCCCCCTCATTTGTTCAAGGTAATTTCCTTTTGATCACATGGCACTGGTCATGTCTTATAAAGCAAATATATCCAAACATTTTTCATTACTTATCTTCAGCTTTTCCCTCTCCAGTTCTGTTTGCTTATGTAGATCACAAATGTATGAGAAAAACAAACACAAGGCAATTAATGTACCTACAGTCAGAGATGTGAATAATACTGGAATTCAGAAAAGGAAAGGTTGCATAAATAAACCTCTCCAAACTCTTAGCACCAACTATTGGTTTTATCTGCTTCTACCCTACCTAGAGCTGTCCAAAAGGATTGCTAAGGCACTTGCTCCCTAAAAATGTCCCTTTCCTGCTATTATGATTCACCCAAAGCAGCATGGTATATGGTAGAGATGCATGTCAGCCCTGCCTATAAATGCACCAAGGCCTGTTTCTCATAAGCAATTTTTTTACATACACAGAATGAAATAGAGACAAAAAAGTAATTATTGCCTTCATTGTTTGGACTCACATATATAAAAATAAATTTTTAGCCTAATTCTAAGATAGTCATTTCAACTGTCCTTCTTAAAAATCTTAAACACCAGGATTTAGTTAAAAATATCTTCAGTTTGCCTACATTTAACCCTTAATTGTATCTTAAGAAACCTATAATGAAACTAGTGTGGCCAAAATACATTTACCAACAGGTTTCCTTAATTATTATCTAGGAACTATTTATAAGTGGATTATTTCCTGATTTACTTACATTTTGTAAAAAAAAGAAGAGGAAAGTTAATTTATGAAGTTAGAAAAGTAGCTGGAAGAAGCCTAGCCCATTTTATAATGAAAAAAATAAGACACAGAATATGTTTTAAAGTGGCTTTCTCAAATGAACCACAACCTTCAGGATTAGACTTTCCCTTTGAGATACTGAGGTACAGAAAATACCCAGTTTTTAGAAGACACAAAGGAGGCTGAAGAATCCAAATACCCCAGCCCTAAGTGGTATTAAGACCAATAAATAACTATATATGGTATGCTGCTTCTCTCTTCAGAGTAAATCAGTTATTCGGCTAACATGTAACAAGTACATTATAAATTATTTCACTATTACAACCACCACAAATAGATATATAGAAACTTCTACAAACACATTACCATGAATAAAGAAAATGAGTAGACACAGAGAGTGCAATCAGAATTAGACTAATACTATGATCATCTTAATATATCAGTTAAATGTTATGTCCTCATTCCAAGACTCTCTCATTTTATGTAGCTTCTGCATTAATCCAGCTGCAAATTTACTTAGTCCAGATTAGGTCTTAATGTATTATTTATAGCTTTTTACTGATGGTACATTATGGATTTTCATCCAAAAAAGTATAATTTTGTCAGGTGCATGTAAAAGCCATTTTTGAATATATAGCAAATTGTTATATTAAAAGAAAATTTTCATATTTTTTCATAGACTTGAATCAAAGGAACCTTTCCTGTCTGTTGGGTAAGTATTTAAATACTTTATAAGTATTAATTATTTAATTCAAATTACTAAGAAATTCTGAGATGGTATTTTCAGTCATTTAACCTCATATTCAAAATCATAACATATCATTGCATGCAACACTGCTATCTATGTTTTATAAAGACTTAATTAAATTGCTCCCTAGGTTGTATTGTGACCTCAGAAATGCAGCTAATGAATATATATGAAATCCTGTACCTTCTATAAAGGCTTAGCAAGGTACACAGTGATCATCCATATTCTCTTCATGTAAAAGTATACTCACATAGGTCCTAAAAATTCCTCTGAGCCATAGCTTCACCATTCCAAGCCTGTCTACCCATTGCTGTACTCCATTTCTTTTCAATCTACTCTATTCACTGTTTCTTCACCCCCTTCCCTAAGTCTGTCTTCACAATCAATATCTATCTTTTCTCCTTAGCTTTCATTTCACTTTAATTTCTCCAGCTCACTCACATTGACTGCTTCTCTGCACCCAAAGCTGAGGAACCCTGAGGCAAATTTAGATAAGACAAATGCTTGCCTGCTCTGATGGTATCCTTCTTAGTCACAAAACATATCTTAAGAATAATATATTGTTGGCCGGGCGCGGTGGCTCATGCCTGTAATCCTAGCACTTTGGGAGGCGAGCAGATCACCTGAGGTCAGGATCTCAAGACCAGCCTGGCCAACATGGTGAAACTCCGTCTCTACTAAAAATACAAAAATTAACTGGGCATGGTGGCACACACCTGTAATCCCAGCTACTTGGGAGGCTGAGGCAGGAGAATTGCCTGAACCTGGGAGGCAGAAGTTGCAGTGAGCCAAGATTGCACCACTGCACTCCAGCCTGGGCGACAGACCAAGACTCTGTCTCAAAAAATAATAGAAATAAAATAATATGTTGTTTACATGAGTGCACATGTTCTATTTTTAGGCATTCAAAACTAATTAAGTATAAGCAATGTTGTATCTGATCAAATACTCCTTTGACTAATATATTAAAGTTTATTATGAAAGGACTTTTGCACCATCAATATTATAGATGATATTGTATCAAAAAGTGGTGAAAAATGCGATGTCTTGCCTAGAGAAATCATGCTATATTTGATGAGGGAAAAAAAGCTGTCATATATAGGCAGCCACAATACTGATGGTTAATGACCAGAAACATGGAATGGGGTTAGATTTTTAAGTGACCAGATCAATTTTCTTTTATTACTTTGTACATGGCCATTGAATATTTCTATCACTCATTCAGCAACATGGTTCCCAATTCCTTTCTACTCTTCATAAAAGCTTTTCAGAAAGCCACTCAAATCATGGAAATCAAAATAATTGTTAGGGGATGTGGAAGGCAAAAAATGGAATATATGTATTTATTTGAAGACTACATGGAAAATGAAAGGTCGAGTTGGTCTGGCCCAAAAATGGTAATAAAGCATGCTTTTTTCCCTACATTGATCATCAGCTCCTATTGTTAAAAATCTCTACACCTGAAGAAATCTTTTAGTTTGAATGCATATGTATCTGCCCTCAAGTCAAACGGCCTGAAATAGCTTCTCTTCACGCCTCACTTCATGCAGTTTCTGTGCAGCCTTTACTGTTCTCCTGGCTATTCTGAGATGAAATTCCTTTTTTATTGCATACTTCTGTTTTAAAAGGCAGACCCTAAGTAATCTTTGTTTTAACTTTTCAAGAGTTTAGCACTGAGTATTAGAACCCTGAGAAAAACTTCTCCCCCAAAAAATAATAATAATGTATCACTCAGCAAATGCTCAAAGTGGGAAAATTAGCATGGCACACATAAGATATTGCTTATGTCTTAAAAGTAAAGTGTGTGAAAGGCAACCCAAATGATTCTGCTGAATGGATATTTTAATTTATAGCTAAATGTTTCCATTCCCTCAAGAAAATTATTTTAAATAAGATTGTCCAAAGTATGTATGCTAAGGTGGGCGACTCACTTTAGTTCAGGAGTTCGAGACCAGGCTGGACAACATGGTGAAACATCTCTACAACAATGTATGTATTAGGTGAGTCTCCTGAAGGCAGCAGAGAGTTGGTTGGTGAGTTCTTATCCATTCTGCAGTTCTGTATCTTTTAAGTAAAGCATTTAGGCCATTTACATTCAATGTTTAGTATTGAGATGTGAGCTACTGTTGCATTCATCATGCTATTTGTTGCCTGCGTACCTTGGTTTTGTTTTTTGTTTTTTTCTTTTTAACTTGTATTTTTGTTTTCTAGGTCCTGTTTGATTTATGCTTTAAAGAAGTTCTGTTTTGATGTGTTTCCAGGACTCATTTCAAGATTTAGAGCTTCTTTTAGCAGTCCTTATAGTGGTGGTTTGGTACTGGCAAATTCTCTCAGCATTTGTTTGTCTGAGAAAGATGGTATCCTTCCTTATGATGCTTAGTTTCGCTGGATACAAAATTCTTGGCTGATAATTGTTTTCTCTAAGGAGACTGAAGATGGGGCCCCAATCCCTTCTAGTTTGTAGGGTTTCTGCTGAGAAATCTGCTGTTAATCTGATAGGTTCTCCTTTATAGGTTACCTGGTGCTTCTGTCTCACATCTCTTAAGATTATTTCATTCATCTTAACTTTAGATAACCTGATGACAATGTGCCTAGACGATGATATTTTTGTGATGAATTTCCCAGGTGTTCTTTATGCTTCTTGTATTTGGATGTCTAGTTCTCTAGCAAGGCCAGGGAAGTTTTCCTCGATTATTCCCCCAAATATGTTTTCCAAACTTTTAGATTTCTCTTCTTCCTTGGGAATACTGATTATTCTTAGGTTTGGTCATTTAACATAATACCAGACTTCTTAGAAGCTTTGTTCATATTTTCTTATTTGTCATGGTTGGATTGGTTTAATTTGAAGGCCTTGTCTTTGAACTCTGAATTTCTTTCTTCTACTTGTTTGTTTCTATTACTGAGACTTTCCAGAGCATTTTGCATTTCTGTGTGTCGTTTCCTGAATTTTTTATTGTTGTTTTCTTTATGCTATCTATTTCCTTGAATATTTCTCCCTTCACTTCTTATGTCATTTTTTGGACTTCCTTGCACTGGGCTTTGCCTTTCTCTGGTGCCCCCCTGATTAGCTTAATAACTAACCTCCTAAACTCTTTTTCAGGTAAATCAGGGATTTCTTCTTAGCTTGGATCCATTGCTGGTGAACTAGTGTGATTTTGGGGGATGTTAAAGAGCCTTGTTTTGTCATATTACCTGAGTTGGTTTCCTGGTTCCTTCTCATTTGGGTAGGCTCTGTCAGAGGGAAGGTCTAGGGCTGAAGGCTGTTGTCCAGATTCTGTTGTCCCACAGGGAGTTCCCTTGATGTAGTACTCTCCACCTTTCCCTATGGATGTGGCTTCCTGTGAGTCAAACTACAGTGATTGTTGTCCCTCTTTTGGGTCTAGCCACCCAGCAAGTCCCCCCAGCTCCAGGCTGGTACTGGGGGTTGTCTGCAGAGTCCTGTGATGAATGGACTCTGTCAGGATTCTTAGCTTTGGTGGTTTAATGTTCTATTTTTGTGCTGGTTGGCCTTCTGCTGGGAGGTGACACTTTCCAGGGAGCATCAGCTGTAGTAGTATGGAGAGGAACCAGTGGTGGGTGAGGCCCTAGAACTCCCAAGATTATATGCCCTTTGTCTTCAGCTACCAAGGTGAGTAGGGGAGGACCATCAGGTAGGGGCAGGGCTAGGCATGTCTGAGCTCAGACTCTCCTTGGATGGATCCTGCTGTGACTGCTGTGGGGGATGGGGATGAGGTTTCCAGGTCAATTGAGTTGTGTACATAGAAGGATTATGGCTGCCTCTTCTGAGTCATGCAGGTTGTCAGAGAAGTGGGAGAAAACTAGCAGACATAGGGCTTAACCAGCTCCCATGCAAATCAAAGGCCTAGTCTCAATCCCACCATGCCACCGCTAACAGCCCCAAATTGGTTTCCAGGCAGTGGATGAGCCAGGCTTGAGAACTTGCCCCAGGCTATTGGCCTCCCAGCTGTGGAAGAAAAGGGTTTGGTTCTTTCCTAGCCTGTGGAGTCCGCACACTGGATTCCCACTCTCCCTTGAGTTTTGCCCAGGAGGCTTCTTGCCCCTTTCAAGTTCTACAAAGTTCGGCTGGAGATTTCCTACTCCCTGTGGTGTTTTTCCCCCACTCCTCTGGTCACCCTCCTGATGGATCCCTGTGGTGCCAAGGAGGAATGGCCTGCTTGAAGACCCAGCGAGCTCCCAGGACCTTTCCCACTGTTTCCTCTACCCCTGTATTTCATTCAGCTCTTGAAACTGACTCAGCTCTAGATAAGGTCAGAAACTTCTCCCGCAAACAGACCTCCAGTTTCTCCAGTGGGGGGTGTGTGTTTGGGAGAGGAGGATCTCCCTTTCTCACTTCTGCCATTGGGGCACTCACAGTATTTGGGGTGTCTCCCAGGTCTGGCAGGAGCACTCTGCCTCCTTCAGAGGGTCTGTGGGTCCTCTTGAGATTGCTGGTTCGTTCTTGCAGTTGATCTGGAGCTAAAATTCACCACACAAGCCTCTTCATGCTGCTCTGTCTGTCCGAGTGGGAACTGCAGTCTAGTCCTGCCTCCCATCCTCCATGATGATCAGATTTATGACTTTTAATCCTAGTCACATGCCAGAATAAGTGCATGGTCTGTGGTTTATTATATCAGTTGGCATGTGAATATATAACATTGAATTTGTCATGGGGGGCGGAGCAAGATGGCCGAATAGGAACAGCTCCAGTCTCCAACTCCCAGCGCGAGCGTCACAGAAGACCAGTGATTTCTGCATTTTCAACTGAGGTACTGGGTTCATCTCACTGGGGAGTGCCAGACGATCGGTGCTGGTCAGCTGCTGCAGCCCGACCAGCGAGAGCTGAAGCAGGGCAAGGCATTGCCTCACCTGGGAAGCGCAAGGGGGAAGGGAATCCCTTTTCCTAGCCAGGGGAACTGAGACACACAACACCTGGAAAATCGGGTAACTCCCACCCCAATACTGCG